GGTTCTAGATGAGCCCAAGCAAATTGTAAACTAATTTAAACATCACTCTGTATTATACTAGCTACTTTGTCTTACACTGGTTGCTAATAAAGCACCCCAAATTAAGTCAAAATGAGTTAAATAGGTGAGTTTGAGTTTCATCTTTCGAAGATACCTAGATTGCCTTAACCAAAATAGAGTAGCTCTCAATGAAGTCAATCATGCTGTATAGTAGTTGCAGGGGAACTTTCGTCAGTTTGATTTGTGAATATGTTGTGAAGGTTTGATTAGGCTGGAGAGATAGGAAGAGCAGAGAGATGAGACTGAGCAGATTTTAAAATGATGGCTCTGGTTAGTGTGGAAAAGGGATGCTGTAAACTGGCCTTGAAAATTTATTCTGTGATCTGAACCAGGTGAGAAACATTTCTGCCATGAGGCAGCCTTTTATTACAAGGTAAACTCAAAAACACACCTGCGCTGGTAAAGCCACACTAAGTCAGTTTGTTCAACTGACTCCGTTTATCTGGCATTTGATCACAAAAATCAAAATGCAGAAGGGCTTGACATGCTAAAGGAGAAATATGATGAGCTTGTTTAGCTTGGTTTTGAATGATGGAGAACTTGGACTGCCTATGCTCAGCTAATACCTGGCACAAAACAACTTGCGGAAGAGCCTGGATTGGTGCTAGCTGACTGTCTTCTATGCTAAAAAATGTTACTGTAGGTAGAATTGGAAAAAGGATGAGTTATAAAAAGAGTGCAGGTTGCATGAAAGTTTGCTGTAGCTTAGCGGACTAAGTAAATCTCTTGGAATCGATTAATTACACCACTAGTGAATTTGTGCCTAGCACAGCAAAGCAGCAATCAGCAAATCTTTCTTTACTATAGTGATTTCTTAAGGTTCACTATAATTAAAGGTCTTTATATATCAGGTACTTAATAACTAATAAAGATCTTGGCTGTAAAGCATTGTAATTCAAAGTAAAATGGGTCTTTGTGGGAGAAACCAAAATAATTTTTTTACTATTCTAACAGTTTTTTAATGAGGTTATCTACAAAAAGGTAAAAATGCAGTTTGTGTTCTGCCCTGTCCAACTGTCTCCCATTGTAGTCATGGACTAAAAAATGTTTAAAAATTATACAAACTTCATAAAATCATTAGTATTTTCATGCTATTGGAAACATTTCAATAGTTGGTTTTACTGAACAAAAAGTCTATGCCATCCACAAAAGGAAATATTGAAAGGAAAATATATACGGAAAGCCTTTATCAGTAAATAGAATTAGTCTCCTTGCATTTATAAATCAAATAAATGGAAATTGTGTTGTTATGAAACATGACCATGTCTTATCTGAAGAAGAAAAAGATCACAATGGCATTAGGAAATGCTTGACTTTAGTTAGAGGAGCGTAAGGGCACAAGAACAGATGATGGTGCCCTAATAGCCCTTTTTAAGAATGACAGGGCCCCGCCATTAGCATCCTTTTATATCCTTGGAAATTGCTCATGCCTCGCTTTTCTGGTTCCTATCTGCCTGACTCTTTTTTATTTCTCTTTCAATTTCATCCGCGCTCGGATAAGCGCATGCTAACACAATATGATTGAGCTGTAAAATGGAACGCTGTCGCCTCTAATCTCTTTTATGTAGATATGGAGGTACTTCCACACTCCACTTCATTCTCTCTCCATTGTTGGCCTTTTTAGAATGTGTTGCCGAGTAATGGAGGCTCAGTCAAATATAAGAGCTAGGTTTCACAGGGTGTGATAAGAAGATTATCAGCCCAGCAGTCAGATCTATTGTTCTTTGTGTCAGATTAAAATATTTCGATGTAACTTCGTTAGTAAAATACTGAAGGTGCTTAAGGAGAGATCGATTCTGCCTCGTCTCCTGCCTGATGAGACAAAACCACTATTAACTGACCTAAATAAATTATAACTATATTTATAAGGCCACTGCAAGACTATTTTATTTTATTTTATTTTACTCTTACTTAAATAAGAAAGCACTACTTAATTTGATATTTACTGGTGGCTGCTTTCTACCCTCTACCAAATTGTATTTTGGGGAGGTTCCATTTTTTTATTGGTTGCATTATAGTCATTAAACTCTTTTCCAGTATGGTGTGGTATTCTGCTGATACGTAGTCACAGTATCAGATTTGTTTAGGCACAATTTCTGTAATGTAACTATCTCATTGACATTCAGCAAAAATGTGCAATGTTCTTTCATATTAAGTGGAGGCAGAAAACATTAAGCTCTTAAAAATGTGCATAACAGGAAGCTAAAGACAAAATGTTCTCTAAAAAATTTGCATGCATGAAAAAACATCAGGCAGACCATAGAAATCAAGTTTTTGTACTTTAAATGAAAAATTTGTTTGGAAACAGTAAATCAGACTAATACATCAAAAATAACTAGTTACATTATTTAGTAAAATAAGCCTGTTTGTCTTCATCTGTCTTCCTGTTTTGCTAGCAGTAACAGTGTTCAAGGAAGGGAATAGTTAGAAATTGATACTGCCACTGGTGCTAGTATTTAAAAAAAAATTAAAAAGGAAAATAATAAATTTTTAAAAAGACATTATTTTGACGGAGCAAATCCAAGAATGTTTTGAATACTTTAGTGTTAATGTTTTATGAAGCATTATTGTTCTGGCATACTTTTTGAGGAGGACAATATTTAAGCTTTCCTTTCCAAAGCAGCTCTCCTGGGTATAGTTTCAAGAGTAGGATTTGCTGCAGAGTTGTCATTTCTAAAATGCCCTTTTCTCATCATCTGTTTCAGAAATACCACCCTATGTAGTTAAAAGTAGAGAGAAAAAGTTGGTCATAATCACCTTTGGAAAGCTAATGTTCATGGAAACATGAGAGTGTACATATATGGTACCTTCATGTAGATAGAAATTAGGTATCCCATAATTTTGGTGTGTGTGTACATCTTAGCGGACATACAGCATGTTTTTAAGTGACAGAAAAAATGCTGATTGTTACTTCTTCATAGTACTTACGTCAGTAGAACATTGAAGACAGGCTGAAATAATACAGTGGAACTATGTGGTATATGTAATCACGTATGATTTATCCATTGCCAGCATCCTATTTATGCCCAAATCCTTCTTTGCACTGTTATGCAGCTAATACAGAATCTCAGCTCTGTAAGGAGAATAGATGTCTTCTTGGATGTCTGTGCCATGCTGCTTGCTGCTGTAAAAATTGTTTCTGCTGAAGTTGAGGCCTTCTCTAGCCTCTTGTGCT